ATATGTTAACCACAGCAGATGGAGAATCCTGTCCTTCCAATACAACAAGAGGGTCTCTGTACATAACCCAAGCTGATAACAACGGCGCCATTTCCGAACACAACCCACCAACGTTAGACTGATAGGAAGTCGAGGGATTCAACTCGTCGACATAAATCTCCACTTTGTCAACGATCTAAATACCTTTGTGTCAAACCCTTCCACGTTACCAGTCACCATGAGCCCCGCTCTACCAGTTTCCTATCTACAAAGTCCTACGACCAATCAAAGCGTAATATGTAAGGCCATACCTTTATGCCCTTGTGTCTACACTACACAAAGGATTTCCTGCCAAACAATACCGCTTCTACAACTGGTCATTTAACGCCAATGTTCAAGATATTATCGGTTATTAAATCTCTAACACCGGCTAGTGTTCAGCCTCTAGAAATAGAACTCGGTCGCTTTTCACGTCCAAAAACTCATTTACTTCATCGTCTTTTCAAATACTGTGACCACCCACATGTTGAGGATGAAGTTCACTTTTTAACTCATGTCCATTCTATTCTGACATAAGATTTTCATTGTGGGCACAGGTCAACTTGACCCGTTATTCCCTTACAGGTCACCAATGACCAGACAAAATCAATAGTGCAGAACGATCTGCTGATTTTTCCCCACGCCGCTGCTTCGACCTTAATGTTTAATTGCAGAAAATTCACTGCACAATAGAATATTTTTCATATTTTATAATGATTGTATTACATATTTTAGGACTTTCGTGCTTTTATTATGAATATATATTTGTATTCTGGTGTCTTGTAGGTACTTCGTTGCCGGACAATGTAGACTGATGAATGGTGTGATATCGTATTGAAATAATCTTCTTCTTCCTCCTTTTGAGACGACCCCCGTCAATCACCCCGCATAGCGTCAAAGCCAGTCCGCTGCTCACCCAACAACCAGGGAATGGCGAAGTATAATTTCTGACTCACATTATGGGTAATTCGCCCCGTTAATTGTCTCTCCGAAGGCCATTGTTTGGTTTATGGTAGATGACCTGGTTCAGTGATAGATAACATGAAGCATACCAGTCGAGGCCTAACCTTATACTCTACACATCAGACACCCCTCTGTTATAACGAGGCATGCTGTCTTCTAGATTCAATGACAAATATACCTCCGTAATGTGTTCAACACATATACCTTCACAATGTGCTCAACACATATACTTTCACAATATGTACAACACATATACCTTCATAATGTGTATAACACAAATACCTTCACAACGTTTACAACACATATACCTTCACAATGTGCACAACACATATACCTTCACAATGTGCACAACACATATACCTTCACAATGTGCACAACACATATACCTTCACAATGTGTTCAACACATATACCTTCACAATGTGCACAACACATATACCTTCACAATGTGCACAACACATATACCTTCACAATGTGCACAACACATATACCTTCACAATGTGCACAACACATATACCTTCACAATGTGCACAACACATATACCTTCACAATGTGTATAACACAAATACCTTCACAACGTTTACAACACATATACCTTCACAATGTGCACAACACATATACCTTCACAATGTGCACAACACATATACCTTCACAATGTTGACAACACATATACCTTCACAATGTGCACAACACATATACCTTCACAATGTTGACAACACATATACCTTCACAATGTGCACAACACATATACCTTCACAATGTGCACAACACATATACCTTCACAATGTGCACAACACATATACCTTCACAATGTGTATAACACAAATACCTTCACAACGTTTACAACACATATACCTTCACAATGTGCACAACACATATACCTTCACAATGTGCACAACACATATACCTTCACAATGTTGACAACACATATACCTTCACAATGTGCACAACACATATACCTTCACAATGTGTACAACACATATACCTTCACAATGTGCACAACACATATACCTTCACAATATGTACAACACATATACCTTCACAATGTGTACAACACATATACCTTCACAATGTGCACAACACATATACCTTCACAATGTGGTCAACACATATACCTTCACAATGTGCACAACACATACACCTTCACAATGTGTACAACACATATACCTTCACAATGTGCACATCACATATACCTTCACAATGTTTACAACACATATACCTTCCCAATGTGTTAACGCATATACCGTCACGATGTGTCCAACATATTTACAATATGTACAACGCATGTATCTTCGCAATGTGTACAACACATATACCTTCGCAACGTGTACAACAGATATACCTTCATAATGTGTTCAACACATATACCTTCACAATATGTACAACACATATACCTTTCCAATGTTTACAACACACATACTTTCACAATGTGTTCAACGCAAATATCATCGGAATGTGTACAACACATACTAGCATAACATATACACAATTAGATGCTGAAATGAAAACTTTGGTTACAGGAAACGAATTCTTCAATTCTTGTATTCCCGGTTACAAATAAATTAGAAAAAGAGTATTATTACCCTTTCGTTCGTGTACAGAGACATTGTGACATTTTGTAAATTTATTTCCGACATATCGAAAACGACTGTTGGCTACATGTAAACCTGATACTATTCACACAGGAGTAACCCTGGGCGTGTCATCACCGTTCTTAATAAAAAGCATTAAACAGAAGTAAAGGTACTGACACGTTAGCTCTAAACGACTGGGTGTTCGCATCAACACCAAAGGAAACGGTAGAGGTTGATTAAAAACAAATCAAAGTAAAATGCCAGCTGACTTATGTTTTAAACATCATCATATTGATTAATTCCTGTTGCTTAATGAAACTACTCCTTTACATCTGGGCCGAAAAAAACCCCATGAAATACGTGATCCGATAAAGCAATCAGACACGCAACTGCATATCGCTACTCTATCGGTCCCGTAAAAATTCCGGGTTAGAATTGGTCTTCATGATCAGCAACCCGTGCTTGTCGTAAGAGGCGACTAACGGGATCTAGTGGCCAGGCTCACTGACTTGGTTTGATGCATGTCATCGTATCCCAAATGCGTGGATCGATGCTCATAAGTGTCAATCACCTGATTGTCTGGTCCAGACTTGATTATTTACAGACCGCTGTTATGTAGCTGGAATATTGCTGATTGTGGAGTTAAACAACAAACAAACAGAACAAAAATCAATTCTATCGTCCGTGTGTAAAACGGACTTCAGTCTATTTTTCCACCAGCTTTCATTAGGGTAGTGGGCGTATCCACGAACCCCACACAACAACTCGAACAAACTGTCTGCAGCGAAACCTAACACCCCCAGTGTGAATCTCCATGAAAAAATAACGGTTGTGGTAATGATGGCGAAACCCGCATGTCCGGGAGTGAAGTATTTGCAGCTTCTCACAGCACAGCGTCCCACCTGTTTCATACAGGTCGATGTGTGTCTTAACTCTCCCAGTTAGGTCGGATCCAGGAAGACAAACAGTCCTTCCACAGTGGCTTTCAATGAGGCGGTGCGGTACGTCTTGAACAAACGCTGTATTTAAATCGCGAACAACAAACCGAGGATTGACCCGAGCGCAAATACCACAGCGTGGACAGTTAAGAACTGTATCTGTAGGAGAATTTTTTGAAACTATTCCGTAAATTGAAATTGAAATAGAAATTGAAATTATTTGACTGGCTAATACCCCCTATGCGGAAAACACGTGTGTTGTGTGTAAAAACAATCTGACATGTGTGTTCTTGCTCGGAGGAATTTGACGTTTGCAGCACAGAATGTTGCGATAGTTTTCTCGATACACTGCAAGTTTGCCTTCATTCACACGGCCACTTGTATCAACCAGAATCCAGATCACATCGTGACTTCAAATATTAAGAATAAATGTCGACCAAAATAACACGTTTTCGTACTCGTATTAACGAATAATTCGTACAGAGTAATGTCCGTATGTCACTATATGTAGACGTTCGACACAGGAATCGTCCGCTGGCTTTTCAGATTAACCTGGTCCGGAATATCAGGGTTTATGTTTAGCTTATACACGAGTTATGTGTAATTTATGAAGGGAATAGCAAAGACATTCAGAATTTTTATTTCTTTATTATGCCTCTCTTGAAATAATGATCTTGAGTCGAGATAATCTAAAAAACATTAATGTGTTGTTTATGTAAAAGCCCTCATCACTATGACAAGAAGTGTGTTGGTTTTTTTTACAAAAAAGGTAGATCCAAAGTATGACTACATGAGTTGCATACTTACTGTCAGCTGCACAAACAAACAAATAATGAAGCGATGATTCATTCTTGTCGAATATACTTAGAAACGGTAGGGGCTTGGTATACACTCAATGAAAGCAGAGGCAGTTTAGTCTCATAAACAGGAAAGTTTAACGCGAGAAAAGCCGCTCCACAAAACAGGTCATTGTGCTTTGCAAACAGGATATTATGTAAATTGCAGTATTTATAAGAATAAATATATATACAGCCGGAAAGTGATGTAACCGTCAAGTGATGCACACTGTCAGATGTTAGATTGTTAGAAGAGCAACGTTGCACAATCAAGACTTGGTAAGGAGTATGGTCTCATGGTCTGGAAACGGGTATGGGGGTGTAGAAAGCGGTGTTCATAGAAACAATGAGCACGGATAAAGCTTTACACACTCTTCGAAATGGCCAAGTTACGCCATAACATAATGTAAACTCGCTCTTAAAGAAACGAAATTTAACATCTACACATTTCTAAGCCATCCGTCTTCGTAAGAAAAGTAACAATATATATCCAGCTTATGACGGGTACGGTGTTCACAACCAGTGCATGTAGGCACCCAGATATAAATCCTTCCACCAAATCACAGCATTGACAGATGATTCTGTAACGAGTCATAAGTGTAACTCATTACTTAATAAAAAACACATACTCCGACATGCATACACTCTCGTGCCAGATAGATGTAAACTTACTTACATCTTCCTCCGAAGGCATCAGTCGATGGCAGCGTCAAACATGTAACTGCCAGCCTCAGATCCTTGAAACATTATAACCTGCTACACTAGGGTCCGCGGTCCTAGTCCCGTACATACTCACTACAGTCCCGCTGTTAGCCACAATACTGGACAAATGTACGTTGTTGGCTATACCCACACCGCAAGCAGTTTGACAGCAGCAGTGATTGAACGAGGGAACTGCATAGTGTGAGCTAGGCTGCACACACTATGTCACAGCACTCCGTAGCTCTGCGTGGATTTAATGCTCTAGCATCGTTATCCCAGGACTGGGGAACGCCATGGAATCACAGCTGTGTTGCACTTGTTAAGACCGTCGAATCAAGATCATGGTTCATTAAGTGGGATAAACGAGTGAGTCGTGTTTTACGCCGCTTTTAGCAGTATCCCAGCACTATCACGGCGAGGGTACTCGTGTTTTCTTTTTGTTTGTTTGTTTCTTGTCCAACACCGCTCGCAGATATATTCCAGCTGTATGACGGCAGTCTGTAAATATTCACGTCTGGACCAGACAATCCAGTGGCTGACATCATGAGCATTGACCTATGCAATTGAGATGCGATGACATGCATCAAACCACGTCAGTGTGCCTGACCATCCGATCCCGTTAGTCGTCTCTTACCCAACCAATTCTAACCCGTATCTTCACGGGGGACTAGCATGGGTTGCTGAAGACCAATTTTAATCCGGTTCTTCACAGGTCACTTCTCATTTTAGTTAATTAATGTAAATATATGCAATAAGAATTATGTTTTTATTAATGTAATTCAGGGTATTTTTAGTTCAATTTTTGACATAAGTAATTCAATTAACCATTGTTATTTGTGAACGAACTACTGATAACATTGGTGCTTTATATTTCATGATATCATGAAGTGTATCCCTGACATGTTTTTTTTCATTAAAACCTCACCCAGTAATTTCACACGTTGCGCCCATTTGGGGAATTTCGCTTAATGCGAAACATACTTAACATCAATGTAAGAACCATGCGCTTGTTTCTTTGGCAATAGTCATATGTTTCACACACAAACAGTAAAATAGTTATAAATAAGCATGTTTGTTGTAATAAGAGGAAGAAAAAAACAAAACAAACGTAGCCAAAAAAATGAAGAATTATTCTAGTTTACGGACGTTTGTCCTTTGTATACAGGTAGACGTCAATGATACTATCTTCCGGATAGCGTAGTTTCCGGATTAACAGGTGCCCGCGAGTACTGGACACTAGCGGTCCGTCATATTTAAACACTGAAAGGTCAAGAGATCATCTTGACGTTTGGCGATATCGCAGTGCGAAAATGTGAAGTGTAACTGCGATGATGTCGTAATACACCGACGTTACACTGCTGATACAGAAGACATCAGCGCCAAAGCCCGGCTTGTTTGCATACTTAAGTTTACCATACCAACAGGCCAGTTGATCAAATATTCTCTTGGCCAGGGTACACACGTCCTTGGCGACACGTCCCTGGATAATTTGGTGTATCAATAACGTTGGTATTTGCGCAGAGAAAACAGTTGCGTTAACCGCAATACTAGCTAGATTGGCATTTCATCTGAGCGTAATCATTCTGTCCATGTTGAAAGTTGTAACGATACTATGAACAGTATTACGGTTATACGAGTATGACACCGCGACAGCTTAATGTGGGAGGAAAGACCGACCTCAACGGTGCAGACAAACCTAGAATCATAAAACTGTGAGATGTTATGAAGCGACGTGTTACATATATCCAATATAACAGACATATCGACATCAGATGGTACTGATGCTCAGCATTAAGGGATAAAACAAGGACTGATCGATTGAACAAGCGTTACCGGCTGATTCTGGTCCTGTCGTAGGCGTCGTGCATCTAATCCCCGACATTTCAATGGAGGAGAGAAACAGCCGGACGTCAGGCCCGCTTGTTGTGCTCCCTCAACCGGTTGCGTATGGTTCGGCCACTAATTGAACCCAGGAATTGACCGAGCTGTTAATGGGGCAGGATGGTATCGATTCTGTAGATGCACCAACCGAATATGGTTGTCTTGTTGATGTGACGTCATACGTGGTTGACCGGACCGTGGCAGGGCATGACTGTTACCCTGCTGAAGATGACGTCTCCAAAGAGACAATATTGTGTTTCGATGAACATTTAGATGTCTGTCAACTTACACCATTTCAGTTTGTAGCACACCCGCGGCGCGTCGACGTTGATTTTTAGCAATCCGCGTCATTACGTAAACGTTATTTACGGGTGAACAAAAGCGTTTTATGAGCAGCTGATAGCTAAATGATCATTATCTGCTGTTCAAATTAACAAAAACCGAATGCATCACTATCATGCTCCCAACAAACACCAAACATTCAAATTGTGCGCCGCGTATTAACATGATCGTGCAATTTGTGAAGACGACCTTAAATTCGGGAAGTTTTCCTCGTGAATATGTATTGAAATATGCATTATTTACGTTTTGAAAAAAAATCATTTTTTTACCGAAATTCATATGAAGCACAGTTTCTTTTCCCCGTCAGTATACAAGCAGTCTCACATACACACACGTCCATGCACGTCGCTGAACAAATTCATTAATCTTTTTAAGCAACGTCAAACGTCACTTCACACCTTATAAGATGGCAATTGCTCAGTGCAGAAAGGTTTCATTTAGTGAGTTTGCTTTTACGTCATCCTAAGCAATATTCCAACAATATCACCGCGGAGGACACAAGAAATGGGCTCCACACATTGCACCATGTGTGGAATAGATCCCGGGCCTGCTGCGTGATGAGTGAGCACTTTAACCATTCGGCTACGCTACCGCTCCCATGGGCTCTCATAGCTAAAGGTGAGGTGAAATGGGGTTTAACGTCGCGTCCAAGATTATTGCACTTATATAGCGACGTGCATGTATGTGTGTGTGTTTGTGTGGCTGCTTGTACTAATCCCGACTGATGCCGATTTATAGTGCTAGCTCACTGAGATACCATGTCGCAGTTTAACATGAATACTCCACTCAGACACATTATACTGACTCCTAGCCGACCAGTCCTTGTTTTAGCCCCTTTATGCCGAGCGCCAGACAGGGTAACAACAAGCACCATCTTTTAACGTCTTTCGGTATGACGCGGCTGGGGATCGAACCCCGGACCTCCCGCTCTACCACTAGACCACGTAGGGGGTCCTCATAGCTATAGTAGTGAGATGACATACAGTGGCATTTCATTACTGCAGACATCAATACGTAATATAACATAACGGTTCGGCTTTAATGCATTACAGGTGCATTTAATGCTAGCTGTTTAAATGACAAAATAGTTAAAATTATGACGTACTCAAAATCATTGAGATAAACACAGCACGTTTTTTCCAAACAAATAGGACAGGTTCCATCGACAAATTATTAATTATTATAACTTCTACTACTGCTACTAGAAGTAGTCGTAGTAGCAACAGTAGCAGCAACATTAATGGTAGTAGTAGCAACAACATTAGCAGTAGCAGTAGTAGTGGCAGTAGTAGTAGTAATGACAGAAGTGGTAGCAGTAGCAGCAGCATTACCAGTAGCAGTAGTACTGGCAGTAGTAGTAGTAGTAGTAGTAGTAGTAGTAGTAGTAGTAGAAGTAGTAGCAGTAGTAGTAGTGACAGAAGGAGTAGTAATAGTAGTAGCAGAAGTAGTAGTAGCAGTAGTAATAGTAGTAGTGGTAGTGGTAGCAGTAGTTGTAGCAGCAGTAGTAATAGTAGTTTATGTGTTTGGATACTTAGTTGGTGATGGCATGTACATATTTATATTACAAGTTGTATAATCCGAGTATAGATATGTTATTGTTTTTTTTTTACATTAAACATAACTGTACAGATTAATTAACAGTATTATGACTCAATAAACTTATAAAAATAGTAATACCACTCTTATGTTGTTTCAGTGTTGGGTAAATGTATTTTAAAACGCCGAAAACAGATACGTTAAATTCACAATACCATCCTTGACCTCCACGTATGTATGTTACAACCGCTGAAGGTCAAGCAAACAACCCAACGCCTTGATCATAACGTGAACTCTCCATCTACTAGCGACCCTAACAAACCCAGCGACGTGCGAGCAACAAAAGTTCATCAATTCCTAGCATATTCTAACAAAGTCTGGCCGCAATAAAAGTGGTAGTGACCTCCCTCAGTCCGTTTGGGAATGTCCAAGACGTGACCTCATAGTGGTCATGTGATCACGACCCACGTGATGTGACGATTATTTCCATAGGTCAAATACTTTCACATACTGGATACATGTTGAGCAAAATAGTGCTCCGTCGTAATTACAAGTGTAAAACACGGAACGTGCAGAAATATTTTTTTTGGTGAAAAAAGATTTCACTGATATAACTACTCTCGGTTTCAGCAATGTTAATATCATATGTACGATGCCAGTATATTGTGCAGTGGCTCAGCTGAAGGAACATTACAAATTCATACGCGATTCGAATTGACACTGTAAGGCCGAAATCGTGACGTTGTCATTTACCAGAAACGAAAATAAGAAACCCTTGTTAATCCGGACTCACGTATTGGAGCCAGGCTTTCGGACAAATATCCCAATTATTGATTTTATACATGTCATCATACACACGGCAGAGCAAGAAAAGCCCGTTACGAGTGAAAAAGGAAAAATCGATCTCAATTTTCTCTTTGATATTCTCTTTTTGTACACAACATTGAATAAACGTTTATACAATTTGTACAAATAAGATGAAACGATTGATATCGGTTTGACGCCGACTTGATATATTAACGTAGTCATTATTTGATTTGGATGATGTGAATGCGGTTTATGTAAACGTAATATTAGCTTTTGAATGCTGTTTATGTAAACGTAATATTAGCGTGAATGTATATACCATCACGCTGACAGTTAGATGTGGAGAAGAGTAAAGATAAAAAGGGTAGGTGGCTTTCTGATGTAGAGAAAGGAATAAGGAGAAAAGATGAGATAGAGAGACCAAAAAGGAAAAGTGGAAATGACCAAGTGAAAAGAAGGACGTTGTGTGATGACGGAGGAAAATGATCAAGTGAAAGGAAGGACGTTGTGTGATGACGGAGGTAAATGATCAAGTGAAAAGAAGGACGTTGTGTGATGACGGAGGAAAATGATCAAGTGAAAGGAAGGACGTTGTGTGATGACGGAGGTAAATGATCAAGTGAAAGGAAGGACGCTGTGTGATGACGGAGGTAAATGACCAAGTGAAAGGAAGGACGTTGTGTGATGACGGAGGAAAATGATCAAGTGAAAGGAAGGACGTTGTGTGATGACGGAGGAAAATGATCTTGACAAGTGAAAGGAAGGACGTCGTGTGATGACGGAGGAAAATGATCAAGTGAAAGGAAGAC